CCGGTTGGACAGACCATCGGAGCCGGTCTCCGGTTGGACAGACCATCAGAGCCTGTCTCTGGTTGGACAGACCATCGGAGCCGGTCTTTGGTTGGACAGACCATCAGAGCCGGTCTCCGGTTGGACAGACCAGGCTGACCTTGAGCTTCTTTGAACCTCAACCCAACTGAAAATTTGTGGATTCTGATTGAACGTTGGGTTTGAACAAACCGACCATCAGCCAGAACCTTGTTGATGGGGACAAAAAGCCCGAGGTCCAGGAGACACTGGCTGGGAGACATTATTAGTGAGTGTATGTATATATCTGAGCCTGTGTGGACATTCTTGTCCACCAGGAGTGGATGTAAACTTCTGAACCCATCTTTAGGAGGTTCAGTATTTAGATCCTTCACATTCGACTCTTAGATTTTCAGACATGTTCTCCACGTCGTCTCAACACATGAAGAGGAGACGGGTCGTCCTCGTTGTCCACAGAGACGGACCTCCCGGGGCGAAACAAGACTCCTGTTTGTCTTGGAGGACGCAGAGCGGCGGGTAATCGGAGCCGACATCAGCCTCTCACATGGGGGGACATTCTCAGAAAGCTCGCTCCCACAGCGGAGACACAATACGAGTCTGTCTCCGTCCTCGGCAGGATGGGGACGGCAGATTACGGTGCTGAGAGGACGTCTTTCTGACCGCTCCCCGGCCGAATAAAGAGCAGAAAATGAGACGTAATTATCCCCCCCAGCTCTGAAGGAGGAGACGGGACAAATGACCATCTCCCACACGGCTCTGAACCCGTCCCTGAGACGATGAGCGCCGGCCGACACGGAGACGAACGCTCGGAGTTCATGTCACTTGTGGAGAGTTCAGTGTTTGATTTAAATCTGAGGAGTTTAAAATACAAACAAATTAAAATTAAAGAAGTCCCGACAGAAACAGAAACACAAACTTTTGATTCAACAGAAACTTTTTTCTTTGAGTCAAAAAGATCAGCTCTGATTTCACACACACACACACACACACACACACACACACACACACACACACAC